CTCCGTCTGTCTCTCTCTCTCGCCTTGCGAGCGCACGTGCCTCGCGGCACGCAGCAGGTCGCCGCGGTGCATCCGGGCTGGGCTATGGTGTGACGCTATGCGTCATCGGCTGCCCGTCCCAGCCCCGCCACCGCCACAACCTGCTTGCACTTGCCCTTCAGCGACGCCACTTACCCGTGCGCCGACCTCGTCAGTTGGCTACAAAAAATGATTAAAGACTATATACCGAGACCGAGAGTCTTTGTTTGCTATGCAAACGACACATCTTGCAACATCGTAGCACCTGTCTCACCTGTCGTGTTGCGAATATATTTGATCGCCGGCAAAACAACAGCTGAACGTCTTTACACACGGTTTATGCGAAACGCGGCATTTTTCGCTTATTTTTTATAGATCTTTTTTAAACGAACCTTTATTTCTTGGCCTGGACCAAATGTCCGTGGGTCAAAAACGAACAGATGCACGAGCAAAGTTATCGCTAACTTTACTCAAGTATGGTGTCGTATCGGACGGGTGCAGATGTACCAGGCCGCCGCTGTGCCGGGTTGAGGTCCCCCGCGCGAGGCCGGCGAAAGTCGCGTGTTGTTGTGGTGGTCTTCCCTCTCTCCGCGGCCTCACGGTCGGGCCGGGTCGGGGAGCTGTTGTAATACCGGCGGGGCGGGGTGGGGTGGGGTGGGGCGAGGTCTGCACGTGCGGCCACACGTGTAGCCGGCGGAGTGGAGGGGGGGGGGGCAAGTGGGGGAACACACATACCCGAGCAGGCTTAAGTGCCCCCGATCATGTATGGAGAGGGCCGATAGCTCTCAGGTCGAGGCTCAGGTGTGTGTGTGTGCGGGCGGTCACGTCACGTAGGGCAAGGTACGGCCATGGAGGGGTAAGGAAGGGGAAAGGGAGAGGGAGGGCTCTATAAGGGATCTGCGCGCGGGAAGGCGCGCGCGCGCAGCACAGCAGGTTGGCGAATTTCAGTTCGTGTTTTAGCCCCATGCTAGTTTGTTACGACGAATCTGTAACGAACGCGCGTCAAATACTCTTATTTTAGCTCACAAAAAACGCGAACACGGTATTTTTTACGCGATTCGATGGAACTTGTTCTAACTCAAATAAAAACAAAACGGTAGTACAATGCCCGTTTCTTTTTAAGGTCAAAGCCAAAGTGGAAAATTTCACGAATCGGAACAAGGGCTCAAATTGTCGCGTTGGAATCCTGTTGAGAAGATGAAAAGTAGAAGGGGGGGGG